AAGCAAACGTATTTTTGCTATAGCAAGCGACAACATTACTTCTTTTTCGTATATAAGCAGATTTTCGAGAATATCTCAGTTATATAAGCTATATTCAGCCTATTTGGTTTAAGGTAATGAAGGACTGGGGTGTGTGGATAAGACCTATGCGAGGTGGAAACCGCAGTCCACCCTGGATGGGAACAATTTTGGGAAAGCAAGGCTATGTGAAATTCAATGGAACCGTCAACTCGACTCGTAGCATTGCGGGAAAATTCTACTACCAGTCCTTCATAATCTTAAACGAAATACGGTGAATACATCTCATATAACTAATTTACTGGTAGTCCCAAAACTTTACTTATATAGGAATAATAGAATTTAAAATGGGCGAACAAAAATTGGCAGTGCTCAGTCTGTTTGACCATATTCAACAAATTTTACTTTTATTGATATAATTATTCTGAGTAATGATTCTCAAATAAGGGAAACCTATACTCACATCTTAATAAAATACTTCTTGGCTAAGGAAAGAGTAAAGACTTGATCAGCAATGCATGTTGTTACAGCTAATAATAATACTGAAGTAAGAGAATTCAAATATATCATATAAATGGATTATTATGAATGGCGATTATTATGATTTGTAAGCTGCGCCACTTCAGATCTCTCTAGTAGAGCTTGGGCGCGAGTTGATAAGCGAAAGAGGGAAAAACCTAGTTGATGAGGAAATTCAAGTTAAGTGTGATAGTACAAACACGTTTTTTAACAGATTAGCTTATTTAATTTAAATTATATGATTGTAATGACTTATCCCAACAGTCCTATTTAATCTTTAGTCTTGTTGCATTACATAAATAGCCATGGCTCAGCACCTTTCGACACAAGGACTACGTGACATGAATTTCCATTTCGAAGGGATTCGAGATGTGGTCGCACCGGAAACAGGAGGATTGCCGCGTAGGGAAGACTGCTGCAGTGCGTAAATATGTCCTCGGCTCACCGTTCTATGAGCTATTTTCGTTATATCTGCTAAAAAAACGTGACTAATATTCATTCCTTAATTCACATCGACAAATCAACGTTTGCCACCGCATCGTGCCTATCCATTGAACCAATCAGGTGACAAGCAGAACTAAGCAAGGGTATTTCAAGCAGCAAACATGATTTCTAGGTCGGTCACGTTTATAGAAGTGGGTTAACCTCGTTGTCGCAATTTAGTCTTGTTGTCAGGCTGACTTAGTAGAACTAACTTAGTCTGAAGTCTTCTGCCATAGTAGTTATCATAATTTCCAGCATTAGGCAATGGACCTGGTACATTCTCAAACGTCAGAGGACTTCAGACTAGGTGTGTTCTACTAAGTCGTCCTGACAACAAGACCAGGTTGTAACGATGAGGTCTACTCACTTCTATAAGGCGAAAGGAGACTGAGACCATACCGGGGGCCACACCATCTTGGTCTTCATATCTTCGGTCGCGTTTAGTTAATTGTCATTTTTTGCTCTGCTGTGACCCGCGGAGTTTAAACCTTTCTAGTACGCGCCGCCTTAAATAATTGACTTGCAATGTTCAACCCTATATTGTAATTCAGCTGGTCCTAACACATAGTAATACGAATTTTCTTTCTCTCTCTTCGTCCCGGGGCATTCAACTTTGTTATTATCAGAAGCATAAGACTAACGGACACTGAGTTCTGGGACGAGGAGTTGGACAAACTAATTCGGATTTGCCTTAGTATCGGGGAGACCAAAAAATTTAAAGAAAGAAATATAAGGGTCGTAAAGAGCAGATTTCAACTAGTATTTTATGATAATAAGACCAGGAATCAGAACGACCAAAAGTGGATATGCCTGCCCTTCTGCGAACTGAGCCAAAGATTGCGGCCGTGGCTAAGAGATTATAACATAGGAAAAGACAACACTTCACCAGCCTGCTGACGCAACGCGAGGTTGACAAATCGGATTGCTTGGGAGTATATAGCATCAAATGCGGCAACTATGAGTAGAAGTATATTGGTGAAATAGGAATAAATATTGGCCTACGAATCAATGAGCACCAAAGACTCTGCAGAAACATGGATAGTAAGTATCCTAAATAGGGAAACCCATTGCACGGACAGGACATAAAATCGAATGTAAATCGACATACGGCTGGCTACACACGGTGAGAATTCGAGAAAACGCAAGATTTGAGATGCCATCGATATACTGTCCGAAAGAACTATAATGAACAGAAAACTTGAAGAAGGCGTGATTAGCGAAAACTTTGCATACCGTTTAAGCAAACTCAGAGAAGAACAGGGAACAGAAATATTGGTAAAAAGATTACTGGATCAAGATAATGCTTTTAATTTTAGGAAAAGATATTACTAGGAGATCAGAGATAAACAATCGCAATCAGGACTATCACATCTGGGTGTCGGCACACAAAAGACTAATACATACGAATCATAGGCTTGGTATTATGGATAGAAGTGCGAGAGTTGTGGCGGCGACTATTAATAACTGGCTGTTAGTAGATAAGTTTGATCATGGACGTGGTCAATAAAGTAAAGGCTTGACCACGAAATAGGCTCGATTCACATGTCGCACAGGGAATCTGCAGCGTCAAGTTAAGCTGGCATGCCAATTAAAAATCCAGAATTTAGGGGTTTTCTCATATAGGCTAACGTTTCCGCGCCATCAAAGGCTTGAGGCAGAGTGTAGAAGATAACGCCTTGAGTAGCATTGCTACGGTGGCAGCGATAAAATAAAACCACTGAAACAGGCAGATAGGGAAAGAATTATACGAAAAGGAAAGAATTGCGGAAAAAACTGCAGCCTTTGATCAACAATCCCGACACAATGGTGGAGATATGGGAACTAGCGATGAGTGTGAAAAGGTTTCGAATAGGTTTAGATAAAACAAACAAGAAAGTGTGATATTGAAGGGATGATATGAGGATATGGGATAGATGAATAACCCAGGATAGAATGAGGGATATCACAACCATTTATCACTTATCTCTTTGGCGAGTTGTAGTGTACTGTCAAGAATGATAGGGCTCATTGACGATGCCGACTACGATGCTGAAAAAACGTCTCAGAATATACTAAGTCAACGGTCCGACTCTAGATATTATCATGCATAGTATGGACTCCGGACAAGTTGCGTTTCTCTAGGTCTTCCTGCCAATATGACAAAGTTGCGAGAACAAGGTCAAACATCTACTATACGACGAAAAATGACCGCGATAATATAAAAAGCCCCATCGGTTTGGCCTTCATACCCTCACTGCTATACCAAGTTAAAGAGCGCAAGCGTCTTTATAATTTGGGTAGAGACCCTATCTTCGAATCACAAAAACTCAAATTGTAATAATGAAAAGCTAATAAATGCTGAATTGTTAAAGTGCCTTAGCTCAAGGGGGCAAATAACTGGCTAGAAAAATATGATGGGCGAAAAAAACAAAACTTATCTTTCTAGCTCGTGATATTTCGCTTACCTCAAAATTGTATGCCTCATACTTAGATGAATGCCACAACATGAACCAAATTTTCCTTTAAGGGGAATACTTTTATTGTTCCACTAGTCCATAGCATGGATAATATAGTGCTATAATAACGAGCACATTTTTATTGCGAAAATAGTCTAGCTCTCGAAAATGTACATTATTTAAAGGGACAAATCGAGGGTAAGACTTCTAATAAAACCAGTTTGATCGGTGAAACTAACCTTTTGGTCATATAAAGCACTTCCCTTCACTCAACTCGGTAGTAAGAAAATTCATAAAAAAAGCTTAATGATGCACAAAGAGGCACACATGGGAAAAACGTTTAAATAACTCTACATCCAGTAATCTTCAAGGTTGATGGCAGGTGAATAGTAATAATAAAAAATAATATAACATATAAATGCCATATTTAGAATAGAATTTATTAAATAGGTTTATAGTTTGCTTTCACATTTCTATCTTACTAAAGTCTCTTCCTTAGTTTAAATAGGTCTGCGACCGCTAATCTACTGGTAGAGCTATCCGTCCACAAAAAGCCTAATACAAGCTCAATTTATTTGTCGAACACATGGAAAATGTCCTGCCTGTACTACCTGCAAGAGGTTTCGCTGAATCAAAAGTATGATGGCCTGGAATGTGCATTGGGGTAACAGCCGTTCTAGGTGGAGGAAGGCCAAGCCAACTGATTGTTTCAACATGCGGCCGAAGCATTAGGCGACTACCAGAAGAAACTGATGGAACAGGTTGGAGTTGGCCGGCTTCGGCAGATGGTCCAGGCGAAGAAGAGTAGGATCTTACATCTATTTCAGATAAGAAGTTGCTAAGAATGTAGCATTAAAATATATTGGGCAGGGTCATATAAATAAATATGTGCATGCATTCAGTATATAAAAAAGCATCAGTAATTAAAAAATCATCACTTATATTCCTTGGCCTTTAGGATGAATGATCGATTCCAAGCCTGATTGAATGAGGATAACCTATCACCTTAGTGAAGGATACTTTAGATATGAAATAAAAACAAAAGCTTTTATTAAAATTGAAAATACGTTGTAGACAGCCTGGCGTCTGAGGGAACGATAGTTGGACAGTAGCCTACATTTTATCTGAAAAATGTCTGAAAGTGTTCGCATTTAGTTCTTATGAAACATAATTAATGTCACTTCTAAAGGGAGTCTGGGATTTATTTTAAGTGATCAAAACGAGTTATTTGAGAATAAATGCCACAGAAGCAAAACCACATAATCCTTCCTCATCTGGTAAGATCGACCAACGAATCTCTTCTTCATGCACTTTCATACGAAATGAAGGTTCCCCCCGCATAATCATAGTAAAAAAATAAACCAAACAAAGTGTGATTTTCTTCTATTTATAATAAGGTTTTCGAGATTAGCAGTGGATTTTGTATAAGAGCTATATTAATCCTATTTCGTTTAAGATCTCATCAAAGCTTCCACTAAAAGTGGAAATTAGGTTCTGAAATACAGAGCTTAGAGCGAGTCTCACCAAAGGTTTAAATAAAAGTCTAATGCTATCCTTTAAATATAGTTAAAAAGAGAAATTATTCATCTGAACTGTCTAGTTGTTTCAAAAGCTCAGCTCAATATTTCGTAGTTAATAGCTTCATAGTTTAACCTATGCCCAATGGATAATCGAGTATTTCAAGCCATATAAAATTGAAAAGTGACCCCTAAATAATCACTCCTGAATACGAGTGTAATGTCGATAATAATAAAGACA